TATATATATATATATATATATATATATATATATATATATATATATATATATATATATATATATATATATGCATACTATTAACACAGGCATACTATTAACAGGGTATTCGCCCAATATATAATATATATATATATATATATATATATATATATATATATATATATATATATATATATATATATATATATATATACATATATATATATGGGACGATTTAAAAATATGAGAAATTTTGGGCGAATACCCTGTTAATAGTATCCGGCAATGAAATTATTCTTAATATCTTAATATAGCAGTTATCTTTATTTATTAACCTTATCAACTTCCCTTCAAACTGAAACTGATCAACTCTTCATGTAAAAAAATTGAACTCATTATTAATCGATCACCCAATTCACAACAATATGGCATGGAAGTTTGCGTTTGCTGTTCTTACCTGATTTATTAGGCGTAAATTATGATGGCAGAATGGAATTTTGTACAATTTTATTAAAATTCGTCCGGATAAAGAAAACCCGAGAAAAACACAAAACAACATTTGTTAACGATTCGCGTATTTCTGCTCACATCATGCATGGTGTAAATTTCTACTGCTGTACACACGCGTGGTATTTGAAAGTATTTGTGCGCGGCAACAATATTATTCAGTACACTGCAGTTTTACCAACTATAACTGAATTTAATGGAATTTATTAGGACAATGTTATGAGCGGGCGATATATACGAAATGTCTGCCACAGATGTAAATAATAAGCTGAGTGAAAGCGAAGAAAGTGACGTCATTAGTGAAGAGAAAGAGCTGCAGGGGAGTGAGTACGAAACTGATATAGAAATCGATGATGAATGTACAGAGAAATTTGATCCATCTGGAAAAACAAGATATTTAAAGAAGTGTGATGAACTTGGTAGGTTCTCTGGTTCTTGTTTTAGCACAACTGATTAGTACGTTACTCGATGCAACCTATATAGGCTGCCAACAGATATTGAGATTTATTATAATATCTATCTATCTATCTATCTATCTATCTATCTATCTATCTATCTATCTATCTATCTATCTATCTATCTATCTATCTTCAAATTCTATAGTTTTAGTAAAATAAACATCTGTTGCTATCTTAACACACGTCAAAGAAAAGGGAAAAGTAACAAAGTTTCTGCATGTCCTGTATATATGTCAAAAGCAAAGGGTTTATCCAGGCATTGAAATTAAGGAACCATAATCTTTTACACTGGTACGTAACTTTAGCCCGTAATGAGTGCACCTGGACGCTAAAAACACCCTGGTTAAAAATCTTCTGGTTAATCTAAAATTAACCTGAATGTTTGGGGTAACGTAATGTTCCTGGTTAATTGAAATTAAACACTCCTGGTTTGAATATAGGATTCCTGGAGGTTAATTTATATGGTTAACAAATTAGATTATGTTAGGCGGATTATTAACCAGGAATTCTTGGTTAATATATAGTACATGCACCTGACATAATATGGTTAATTCGATGCGAAGAAGTTGCAAATAAAACCCATGCACATTTTCATGCGCGGAAAATGACTGGCGATATTTCGGCAAGTTTTAGACAAAGCCTTGGAAGCGAAAGCATCATATAATGATTATAATCTGACTTTTGCGTTGAAAAAGCTGATGAGAGAACCGTAAAGAACATGAAATTGATTCTCCTTGCATGTTGTTTTAGAAAACATTTTTAGGAAAATTAATATAACTTAAAACGAATACATCACAATACAACTTGTTACTAAATGGGAAGGATATATTGCGGCGTCCTTACGCGTACAAGGTCTTTACTGTGCTATAATTCACGTAAACGTTTAAGGTCGTACTGAGGAAAGTCAACTTTTTACAAACCATCAGAACAAATGTTTTCATAAAAGGCACTATATATAGTGCATAATCAAAATCTGCCTTTTTCAAATATACATAATGTTGATATTGTTAAAATATACATAATGTTGATAGTTGATCTGGTAAAAAAGGGGTGCTTGACTTCATGAAAATTGCCTAAGCATCAGCGAAAGCGATAGCTACGAGACCCTGTTGTATCATTTCGTGGCATTTTGTTGACCGATTAAGTGTCTTTGTTGTGGAATGGGCTCCTTAAGTTTCAAGATAATTGTTTATTTATTTATTATATTAAGTATAGCAATTATCGGGGTTCCTTTAGGTAATTAGATTAAATTTATCTTCGACTGCCACTGTTCTTTGTCTGCACCATTTGCACTACCTGGTAACGAATCTTTTATTTTATTTGTGGTGTTACTCTGAGTGTATATCCAAACCGGGCGAGCTTGAAAAATATGCCCGGCCACGGTGGGATTCGAACCTACGACCTTTGGAATACTAGCCCAATGCTCTTCCAACTGAGCTACGCGGTCAGGACGGTTCGAGTAAGTGATATTTCGGAACAGAATCCAGTTCCTTCGATACCAATGTATTCTAGTAATATGATTTTTTTTTTGGAGAACCAAATAACATTTGGTTCTCCAAAACAAGCAGTGAAAACTTTTAAAATATCATTATAACAGCATAAAAATATTATATTCCGATAGGGTCTGTTTTTTGCACAAAAAACATCCACAAAAACGCCGTTTGTTCATATTAATTGTTTTTTCTTGTTTTTATTCGTGTATTTAAAACTGCAACTTGCTATAAAATCACATACCGTTGGCTCAACCTACACATAATAAGTTATCTGCAAATATATATGCGAAGAACAAATACAGAACGACAATTTTTTATAACTGTAAAATACAATCATTAGTATACATTTTGCAAAATCCTAATTACGACTTTTTTTATCATGTGTCTCGACCTCTATGCCCTAGTAACATGATATTACTCGCTTCTGCCAGTAGAAAACTATATATTTTAGATGAAACAACAAGAAAAATTCATGCGTTTCATGCGTATATTTAATACAGAACAATTTTATAATTTATAACTGTAAATAACTGTACAATTCGTTAAAATACTCATTAATAATTTATACACCATGTGGCAAATCATGTCAGCCATAATATGTCACGTGGAGTGACTTTATATCTGATAAAGTATGTGGCATTATATAATTGTTAATCCTAATTAGTATGTTTATATAATAGTTCATCCTAATTAATAGTCTTTTGTAGTCGTATTTTAAGCTTTTCAAAACACGAGTAGGAGTGTTTTATCAGACATAAAACGCTCGGCTGCGCCTCGCGTTTTATATCTGATAAAACACTCCTACTCGTGTTTTAAATAGTACATAATTAGTGTACATTTTGTAAGATTCTACCATGTAATTCAGTTTATACTGCAATTTGGTTCTAATAAACCGATTATTTGATCACTGAGTTATGTGTAGATTGCGTGATTTTTATATTAAGCTATTGGCCGATCAGAAGACAGGTAGTGACAACAATGTATATATACGAACACTTAATATATAAAATTTATACCTTAATTTCCATCCGTATACACATGAATGTAGAAAACGCGGAACTGGAATGCTGCTTCAAATAGTAATTAAAATCTGGGCGCAATATTTTGCTCCTCATATTGACTTTTATTTGCACAGCACATATCATTTCTATAACGATATATTCATTGCAATATTATCTCATCTTTAGGAATTGTACCGGTATCGAGTTTTGTTTCAAATCTCAAAAATGTCTCGTGTGATTTAAGGCACAATAACCTTGGACCAAAAGGAATGCATGCAGTAGCAAGAGCACTGATACAAAATAATTATATTGCGGAGTTACTTCTTTGTGACAACGCTATACAACCAGAGGGAAGTGCTTATGTGGCAAAATTACTGCTGGAAAACTTTAATATCACCAAGATAGACATAAGTGAAAACGAAATTGGCAGTGCAGGAGCTCACAGTATTGCTCGAGTATTAAAAGAAAACAATAGCTTACAAAGTTTGAACTTGTCAGAAAACCTCCTGAAGCGAAAAGATGCCAATATTTTAGCAGAAGCATTGAAGCGTAACTCAGGATTACGTCATCTTGATTTGAGTTGTAATAAATTCTCTGAAGAAGCTGGTCTTTATTTAGGTAAGCTTTAATATGCTAACTTTTAATGATGATGCGAAAGCCTTAACAACACTAGCTTGTTTCATATAATTGAATGTTTAAATACAATATTTACTTTCAGACGAAATTTTCGAACGGATTACACCATAGAATGTCTACAAAGAAACTGTTATCATTACTCGGTGTTCATTCACACCATGTGTTCCACATATGTTGTAAATGCTCTGGGCCTTTGGCTGTTTGTAAATCATATTCTTTAACATAAAACATACCTAAGAATTCACCTCCTTAAGGAATGATGTATATAAAATATGTCTTCGTACAAACCTTAAACGCAAGGTTTTTACCACTGAAAAGTTGCCAAACCAATTAAGGGCCTATGGCCTATGCATCAAATAATTATGCCATTCAGAAGGTTTTCTGCAGTTTTTCTTACGTTTGTATAATGTATTGGATTGATATGGCCATTACTAAATTTTCTCATGGTCGTTGCTAAAGCGTATTGTTGTTATGATAGGTACTGCCATTGATATGAATACTGGTTTGAAAACATTGGATCTTAGTTGGAATCACTTGCGTGGTCGTAGCGCTATTGCAATAGCCAAAGGGCTGGAAAATAATTACAGCTTGCATACACTTCTACTAGCTTGGAATGGTTTTGGTGATAATGGTGCATGCGCAGTAGCAAAAGCGTTGCTGGAAAACAACACACTCAAAGAACTTGATTTATCAAACAATAGAATCACTAAGAAAGGGTGTCTTGCGTTGGCAGATGCTCTTAACATCAACACATCTTTGAAGATCTTCAGAATTGGTAAGAACCAAATTGAAGGAGATGGGGCGCATGCACTGTTGACTGCTATAAACAGCAATGCTGACACAGGAATTGAAGTACTTGATATGGATGGCGTGGTCATTGAGCAACAAGCACAGACCTTAGTGAGAAAGTTCCTGACCTCTAAACCACAGTTTGATATCTCTTGTGTATTTGGAAAATCAGGTAATTTTCTATCACAATAAAGTTAATGTTATTTATTTAACATCTACATGACAATATTTAGAACAACCATCTATTATCATATTCTCTCGTTCACCATAAATTAATGATCTTTTTCCGATTAAAATAACCTCCATGAGAAAGGTCAGAAAGTGTGTTCATTCACTGAACTTCCAGATTCCTTAACTAGACAGATCTGGATTTAAACGGACGCAATGTATCAGGAAATATATGATCAGATATGACGAAAAAACCCGCTATAATTGACTTATTTTTGAAAAATTGTTTTATATAGGTGGTCAACTTGGGCAAGATCTAGAAGCTACGTACAACAGACGGCATAAGCAAAGTAAATACAGTGCTGAATACACCGTTCACATCCTTAAGGAATACGTCAAATCAAAAAATCTTCGTTTAATTGACCTATTCAATCAGTTCGATAAAGACAAAAGCCAATCAGTATCGCGCGAAGAACTGAAGCGTGGTTTTCAGTCCATTCATGTTCCTTTATCAGATAAACAACTCGACAACTTCCTGCATGAGATGGATACTGATGGAGATGGAGAAATAAATTACAGCGAGTTTACATGGATCAACGACGCCAGCTAAAAATGTGATCACTTCTGTATTTATTTGGCATCGTGACATTAGGTTTAGGAATAAACAACTTCCGATCCATGATAATAATTACTGAGAGTCGTGAGAGAATACTGACACCTTAAGTGTCTTACGTCCCCGTTAAGTGTCTTATACATGAGAATAGCTTTCTGTTTTTGACGATCAACGGATAATTTATTCCACTTCACGTGATGGAGAAGGTTAGATAAGATATCATCGAAAGAACGCGTGTTATAACGCGAGTTGCTCTGTTTTGAACAGAGGAGCCTATCAGAGTATCTCCGAGCCCATTCCATACAGTGGAGCACAGTAGGAGAATTAAGGTTCAATAAAACCTTGATATTATGCTTTATTTCGCGGTTTCTTGATGAATCAGCCCTCGTATACGTTTAAGTGCACCAATGCCAGATCAGAGATCTTTTTGGTCATATGACATCGACATGGTTTCTCCATGTAATATTTTCGTCTAAAGTTATTCCTAGAGTATTTGCGGATTTAACTTGTTTGTCTGACGCATTGTTAACAGTTACACAAAGTTCGTGATCATCAAAGGTTGCTAACCATTGTCGCGAACCGACGGTCATGAACTCTATTTTAGCAATGTTTAAGCTTAACGTATTAGCTATTAACCACCGGTTTAGGCTTTGCAGTTCAAAATTCTTAAAATTTTCAAGATCAGAAAGAGTAAAACGTATGCTAAAACATATGTTAATCAATTAATTTCGTTAGCAAACATTCTTGGGAAACCCTCGTTCAGGCAGTTCGGCAGATCATTGATATGTAGGCCCAGTAATAAAACCTTGGGGGACTCCCTTCGATATAAAAGAGCTATATATATGAGACTGAGTGGCCATTGACGAAGCACCTCTGCTTATACAATAAGTTAGATATGATCGAGAGATGTTAGATGTTTACTGTCAGCATGTTAACTGAATTAGATGTTAACTGTTAGCATGTAGCCAATCAGCGACTAAGAAAATTGCGTCATCGTTAAAAAATAGGTTAATTTGAAATTCAACATGGCGAAATATATCGTGAAATGTGTTTCTTAAAAAAAGGTCAGCAACTTCGGGATTAGGATTAGCGTCTGGATTAGGGTTATTGTAATTGTAGACCCATTAACAATGGCTTTACAGCTTCAATAGATTATTGGTTACAACCTGCGGATTGGCTGGCCAGACCATCACATCTGCCAATACTGGACCGCGCATGTACATTTCCATTGTAGCCTGAAGGCAGAACAATAGACAGCAAAGAAAATATAAAACTGAAAAATAGATACACTAGGCGTACATGTAGCTGCGCAAAATGTTGACATATGTGACTATTGTTTTGTGGTTACTGCTGTTATAGTTGTTCAAGTTATTATTAATAGAGTGATTGTTTCATAATAGGTAGTGAGCAAGTATGTATTTAACCTGAGTATCAGGCTTTATTTTTTCTCGTCTTCCGCAGCAAAGGGCGTGGGCGGCGAGGCGGGCGGAGAGAAGACGAGAAAAATAAATCCTGATACAATTATTGACATGGTCGTCTGCCGCCCACTTATTAATTAACCGGAAGTGTTTATGAGCGCAGGAAAAATAAAGTAGCGGGAAAAAGGGAGGAACAGAAATAAACCTGACATCGGCACGTGAACCTGACAAACGTGCACTGTATGTGTTTACATTCGTCGGAGGCAAATTATAGTAAATAGCAATGTGACCTGAGTATCAGGTTTTATTATTATTTTATAATTTCACTGCAGTTTTAATTTATATTATAATCGTATAATCAATAGTACATCTAATTAGCACCAACCAATCAAATGACAGATTAAAAAATCTTTTGTCTAATCGGCCAATCAGACGAAAAAGGAAGAATCTGGCTTTTTACATGCGGCGCGGTAAATAATTGTATCAGGCCCTCCTTCATTCGCCGCCGCCAATTAATCCTGGCGAATGAAAACATAACGGCCTGATACTCAGGTTAGTGTGTATTTCACACATGACACAAGGCATTATTACAGAGTATACGTACCATCACAGTTTATACCATATACAGGGGTCGGACTCCGGCAAAATCATCAATCCTCATGCGTTAGCTCCTAAACGCCTGTCATTTTCAATGATGGCAGTTGTATCAACATCAAAGGTGCCGACAAGGAGTCGGATTTCGATCTGTTTTTGCACTCTGTGCCATTATGTCCGATTCCTCTACCTGCCCCTCTCCTCTCCACTTTGTAAGACAGAGCTCGCAAAAGCATGATAAATTGAACGGAAATATTAATTAAACGCTCTTTACGAAATTGATCTTTGAACTGATCAACGAGGTATCCTCAGCTAAACCTTCAAAAGAAATACCCCCTTCTAGAAGCATGCTAGTGAGTTAAAAACCGCCAATAATTGCAGAGTATCATACTAGACTAGGACTAAATTATGGATAAATTCACCCCTGACAAACAATCCAATTTCCACGAGTTGCAATGTCAGGCTACAGAGAGAATCTAGAAGTCATGTGTGGTGATTGGCAAATGTGATGGACTATTGCTGTACTGGCTGCAAATATTGTGCCAAAGGTTAAATATATCTATTAATAACTATCTAAGGGATAACTATTTATCATTTTTCTAGGATATAAACTTTATAATTAAACTATTTATGCATGTGACTGTGAAAGAATGTAGAAGCAGGCCTGCCATATTATCAGTATGAATGTATGATGGCAAATATTATCAAAATATTAAAAATTTTAGCACTAAACATTTTGTCTTTGCCCTTTGCTGATGCCAAGTCTCATCATTGATGCGAATGTCTGCTGCAAACAAAGTTTTTACTACTCAGCTATAAACAACACGCGACATGTTCACATAAATGAACTAATTAATTACACTAGCATCTCGTATATTTCTTATCGTATTGGCTTATTATATAATCTGCGACTCTGCTTCAGAAACATTTAAAACATAAATTATAAACTTAAAATAAGTGTGGATAATATTCATTGCAGTCGAAGACATACTGCTATGTTGCAAAGTAAAATGTGAAAATACAAGGATTGGTATGGGCACTTTCAATAGTATTCACATAAATTTCGCATATCAAAACCCATCACTCCATCGAAGGTCCAAATAAATTACGTATCTTAATGAAATAATGACGTAATTTTCTGACGCGCTGATTGGCTACAAGGTAACATTGAACAGTAAACAGTGAACAAGAAGATAACTGTATCTGGGCTAGCGCAGATACTATATATATATATATATATATATATATATATATATATATATATATATATATATATATATATATATATATATATATATATATATATATATATGGAATAAAAGCAAGATGTAAATATTAAATGGTTTTATTTATAGATCCTATTACAGAATCATCATGAGACCATTTGATTTACAAATAAATATAAACGTTCAGTATAAAGGAAAAGCTGAAAGTTGATATATAATTTACTTATATTAAAAAAGGTCGAGTAAACTTAAATTTTACAATATGAAGAAATACTTTATTGAATGAGAGTAACATCGATAACTGCACGGTCACCCAGTAGTTTACATAATGGCCCACAATGATCCAGTTCGGATGGGAATTAATACATAGAACGTACATATCAAATTATATAATACATTAATACAGCCTCATCGTATAAAAAGCACATGCATAATATCTATAGTTGTTAATGTATACACACTGAAGCAAACATCTTGAAAACTTATCTACAACTGAAATGTATTATATGTTCATTCAAGTACAAATAGATTGGATATTAACGAAGTTGTAAAGGATTGTTATACATGCATTCTTATTTTCTACAATATAGATATTAATGAATAAACATTTTACTGCGCATTAAATTAAATTATTAATATTTCTCTCAACAGCGAATGCTTGGATTTGAGATATTTGGTTAAAGTCCCTTTTCTTCGTCTCTTCATGCAGAAAAGATGTTGAAATTAGACATAGACTCGAACAATAAACATCAATTTCCGTGTGCAGGACTTTTAAACTGAAGATTTTCTTTCAGCCAATATTTGCATCTTAAAACAAAAGTAACAGTGAAACTGTTTCTAGAACCATAAAAGTTTCTCATCTTCAATGGTTTGTGCGTAGTTTCTTTAACGCTGCTTCTTGCTCTTTTAATCTCCTCTTTAACTGCAATACCTTAATATCTGTAGGCGACAAGAATGCATGGCTATTATCTGCACCATTTTCACTTTCACCAACACATTGATCCCTACTGTAAGATGGTTTTCCTGTAAATTCAGTTACTGGTGATACCTCGACGTTTTTGAGAGGTTGCGTCATGAGCTTCCAGCTATCACAGAGAACTGCATTATTCTTTGAACTGGATACAATGTTTAATTTTGACTGTTTTATTTTCGCTCCTCCTTTGACATCGTAAAATCTTGTTAATTGACTTGTAGGTGTATAATTCGTTTGGTCAATAGACTGTTTTATTTCAGAAGGAAACAGATGACTTCCATGACCGGTCACGTTTTGTCGCCCGTTGTCAACTGGAAAGTAAATATTATAAACGTTTGACGTCGTTGTGGACTTCTTTAACGTCGGCGATGCCAAACCACTCGGGAAAAGTGGACTTTTAGTTTCGTTGGGCGTATTTTCAGTTCCAATGAATTGTTCAAGTTTTTGGATTGGAGAAGAACATGGAGGTGTAACTGGAAAGTTATTTTTACGTATTACATTTGTTATTTTGTGTTTAATATAAGAAGTAGGTACTTGGGATAATGTAAATACGTTAAGAATAACAGGCATGTTGCCACCTTCGGATTCATTCCGGATGTTAACAAATGTTGTAGGACTATTGGTAATACTATCCGATAGGGCAAGATATTCCGGAGACCTATTCAAATTGCGTTTTGGTACATTAGAATTCTGTGGCGGAGTACTATGTTGTTTTAAACGTTCTGTAAAGGTTTCTTTCGAATTCTTTGATTTAATCGCCAATTCTTGGTTCTCCCTCTCAATGGTTTTTATGTGGTTCGAAGAACTATTCTCAGTGTGGAAACTGTCTTTCCAATCGAACGTGGTTGTTTCTTTAAATTCGTTCATTTCACATGGAAATGTCTTTCCTTTTTTTCTGCTGTCGTTACAGTTGTTTACGGGTATGTTGGAATTTTCGTCAGTGTTCTGTTCATTTACTTCTGTATTATTAGGATTGACAGAATATTCCACATGGTCAGCGGGCTTCGGGGATATCTGTCGTCGTGTACGCCTATATTTTAAATTGTAAATACAAAAAGTATATGGTTTAATTATGATGAAAACAATAAACGTTAGATGAAAAAAGGAATATAATTGTATACAGTTTTTGTTTCCTTCGTTCTTCATTTTATATACCGTATTCAATTCGCTCCTCAATTCGCTATTCCAAATTAAGCAGTGCGGTTCCCCATTCTAATTTCGTTTGGACAATTAACGTATATACAGAGTGTATAAAAAACTGCACAGTTCAAAAATGTCCGTTAAACTGAAAATTCCGCAAAATTATATTTGTGAAAACGTTTTGCAAGCATGAGTAGTTTGGGATCTGGTATCTTAATTTACCACTAAAATTATTTTGAAAAGTAAATTTTCGAGTGCAGGAGGGTTGTTTTAAAAACCACTATAAAAATGACTTGCTCCCAAAAATGCAAGGCTTTAAAAAACGTCATTTGAATTCATAGGGTGCAAATTTGGAAGGTGGTTTTTGAACCATAAAAGTAGCTACCAGATAGTTTGGTGTAAACTAAGTCCAACGTGTGACACCTAAAACTTGGACTTTTTCAGTGCCGTATTAGCCGTTCACGCACAATTTGACTGAAATGCTATGGAAAAAGTTCACGATGTAGAGGTCATTCGTTGGGCTTAATGAACATCAAATCGGTCTGGTAAGAACAGCGGAAACAAAGAGTTGGTTCGCCAAGATTTATTGGAAAATGACCGAAGATCTGCTAGGCGAAATGGTTTAGGGTTGAGCAGTCGCATATTTCGCGGAATTGTTAAGTTAAAATGAGGATATCAAATTTCATCCATATGTACTAGAAATTTCTAATACATGCATGCAGCAACCCCTCGCCTTTTTTAACAGATGAAATCTAAAAACTCCACATAAAGTATTAAGACCATCACAAACAAACATAAAAGCACAACTGATGCACTAGCTTAATGAACGGTAACATTAGCTGCAATTTCGTGTATACCAGCTTGCATTAGTTGACCTGCACGGAAGCACATAAGCGAACGCAAAGCCTCATTAATATCATTATCGTGACTTAACCTACGCAAATTGGTGATTCTTATTGAATGCTGATCCTCTTTTCGCGCTGGCCATATGATAATTATTTATAATTTGTCTGCATGATGTCTTTAATTTCTTTAGCTATTGTGAAATATAGCGCACAGAATTGTTTGAATGCAGTTGTATATAAACACTGAACTATTTGCATACAGTTTTAAATTATCATGTAAAATACTGTATAGCTACGCGGTAAAGCAAAGCGAAATGGATGACATGGTTAGTGTGAATCTTATTATGCTTAACATAAATGCAATTTGTAACGTGCTCCAGCTTCTTCGTTTATATACAAATTATAAAATGCTGCTTTTGACTAGTCAGTGAAAGAGAGCAATGTTGAAGCCTGATTCAGGGCCGTAGCTAGACACGATAATTGGGGTGGGGCGGCCAGAACAGACACGTGACACTACCTATTTTCACGTGATTGGAAATGGAGGCGACATATTTTGTGTATCCAATGCACACTGTATAGAGCGTTATTTTGAAGGGTTAACCGCTATATTTCGATATATACTTATTATATGCTATACTTGAAAGCCAGGGTTGGGCAAAATCAAAGAGTAAAAACGTTGCAAAAGCATACGTAGATGTACAAATAACAGCGAATCATTATACGCTTTATTATGCGAATAACTAAATAATATAGTAATGCATGGTTGCACGCATATATAATAAACTAAACACTGTTCCAGAACACCGTGTGCACTCCATTTTATATCGTTCCAGAACAGTGTTCCAAATGTCCTAGAACAGTAAATGGAGCAGCCTGAGGGTGTATCAAAAAACCTGCAAACACTGTAATTTGCATAATTATGCTGCTTACTAGCATTTTAATGTCGGTGCTACCTATTTTGCTCCTGGGATTTGAAAATACATTCTAATTAACCGCGTTGATAGAAATTAGAATAACACAAAGTTATTTGCAATGCAGAAAACTAATTATAAGTTCGACTGCGAATGGGTCAACTATTGTGTTTACGCACGCTTGGGATCAATTAGTTCTGAATCATGCAAATTCTAAAAACATTGTATTTCAAAGGGTTTGCAGGTTTTTTTATACACCCTGTACAGTATATCGGATAGCATCATAGCATGCAAATACACCCTTTCGATAATTACGTCACAACTACACTGTTTTCACCTTAAGACCACCTTAAATGGAATGCTATTTCAAGTTTGTTTCTCACGGCTATGGGGAGAGAAGCAGAACATCCTTCTTCAACACAATCATAAAAAAAAGTTTCCAATAAATGTGGAAATAAGCTTTAACACGAAAACGATGCTCCAGGGGCAGCGCGGGAGCTGCAAATGAGCCAAACAAGCCGCAGATAACATACAAGGATAAAAAAAACGCACGTTTACTTTGTTTGACAGTCTAAAGGCTAATTTCCACTCCGGATAATAAGCAGCGGATCGGACCGGATTGGAGGTTTTTCCGATCCGGTCCAACTCAGCAAGCGATTTCTAGTAAAAGGACAAGTGGAATGATCGGATCGGAAAGGAAAAAGTGGAGCTCTTCCAGTCTCACAAATTACTATTTCGTGCTTATTTCAAAACAACAGCGGCTCTGAACAAGCGTGTCCTTCATCTGATTTGGTTACGTCGTCGCCAGCGAAGGAGAAGCAAACAAGAAAAATACAAAAAGAGCATTTGGATAAGACAAATTATCCAGGAAAGACAATGGAAAAGTAACTACCACTTATTGATAGAAAAGTTAAAGCTACCATGAATTTTTTTAAGCAATTTCGTATGTTACCAAGCAAATTAATTTAGAGAGCTGTTGTACTCTTGTAAATTCTCCCTCGAATTCTCCCGAAGAAAGCTCCCGTAAGTTATCCTCCATTTTGTAAATTTTATACAGGTATTACTTAATTATTTTAATTTATGTGAATTAATACGGCATTTTGATTGGTCGCCAGGTTTAATCCACGGACCGGACCAAAAAAAAGCGAACGGTCCCTCCTTTCCACGGGTTTAGCTTCCCGGGCGTGCGAGGGGAAATGAGGGACTGCCGACAACTCATCAAGAAACAAAATACGCCCATTTTTCGCTTTTGTTAAGTTGGCTCCGCCTTTGCATAAAAATTACTTATATCCAATTAAATCTATCCAATATAGGAACTGTTAATGTTATGTTTATTTATAAAATCAACATTCAGTCTGGAAATTATTTATAGCATAACTTACTACATATCAGGTTTGATTAACAGGCACATCGATTTCACCAATCACGTTGGTCCAATTTAGCAATCGTTCTCCCACTCGTGCGGACTTGTATTGCCGGCGGACATCTTACAGAAAGTGGCCAGTTCTGTGCAAAATGCAAAATTTTCGATTTTTCACCGCAAGTTCTCTGAAAATTCGCTGAATATGACCAGCGTGAATGGGAATTTTGCGTTGTGTGGGCAACGCATATTTCGTTTCTTGATGTGATGTCGGCAGTCCCTCCTTTCTCCTGAAGGACTGCTCGCGGTTTAGAACACTGGAATTTTTAAGGTATATACAGCAGGGTTCGTAGTCTCCAAGACCAAAAAAATTCAATCAATCTATTTTATTAGCTAGGAAATCGTATAATCAAATACTCACTAAAGAATTTAAAGATTTTTAATTTAAATTAAAGACTTTCTTCGCAGATATATCTCCGAAAAATCCCCCCGAAATGATATTACTCTCTGATGTCTCCCGACTGCGATAATTTGCATAAATTATGCGCGGTTCCCGGTTCCAGTACCAGGTCCCGGTTCCTTATCGTCATAACCAAACAACAAGTCGTTTGAGGTGTTTTAATTGAATCCGCTGTTTAGAAGAAGGGTAAGTACTTTTAAGAGGCAAATGAAGTGCAATAATGATGTCACGCTTGGATACAAATGTGCGTCAGCAACCTACGTCATTGTCACTTTCCTTCATATCCGGCGTATGGTTGCTGCTTATCTGATAACGGCCACGAATTTTCAAGTATTCAGAGGTCCAGTTAAGACATGTAACCCTTCTTTATTTTATTTTAAATATCACTATAATAGCATGTTCAACAAACTCACAAACGGAGTAAATGCGGGAATATAGCTAACATACGTCGCTACTGTCGTGATCGGAATCTTCCACTTGTTGGTTATGCTACGACAGACAGTCATTGATTGCCACCTTTTGACCAGAGCATAATATATAGGCTATAACAAAACACTGCTTCTCTTCTCGCAATTGTCGCGAAAATGCCAGTAAAACCTAAAGATGTTCGACGCGACATAAGTCAACTCACACTGTAAATTTCAAGGAGTTGAATCAACTCTAAAAATGTTATTCTGTCGAATAACACTGTCGAATAATACTCCGTGAAATTTACAGTGAGTGCACCACTACAATGTTGATTTACTCGCATGAATGCCTTGGAAAAAATCGATATGATAATGATTAATGCAACAAAAGCCAGGATCAAACGACGATGTTGGCAGCAACGCGACTTTAGTCAGCTGTTCTTAACACTTGCCATCATGTATTCTAAGTTGAAACATAGTTGGAACACTCATCAAACCTTTAATTCATGTAGAGCTTGAAATGTCCCCCGTGACAATGCCGACTGCCAACTCTCGTCACAACTCCCATTCTCATTTGACAGGGGCTAAAGTATAGAGATTCCTCAGGCACCATGTACGTAATTTATCAATTTCTATCATGCTTTATCTTTCTTTATGTTCTGATATCCTACATTTTGTAGGTTTACGTTGAATTATTAAATTTTGCGATGTTACGTTTACATTTAAATTTACAACATTTTTGGCAGCGTACAAACGTGCTGCGCGCCATGGAGCATATGTATTTTTGTATTTATCGTTGTAGTCGTAGATACAGACAGATATGGTCATAGCATTAAGGCAAGTTGTGTTGGGCACATACCTTGGCAATTTCTGTTTACGTTTCATATTTCATTAAAACAAAACAAGATCTCATGACCACTGGGAGATCAACCAAAATTAATGACGATAATATTAAAATTTGCGGGACAGTTTGGGCGACGTTTGTATATATCGCATTCGGATTTCAAACGTTAAATTTCATCGTTCCTATAAATAATGAAATAAACAATCCTCTGAGAAATTACCACATATCGTAAAAGTGACTCGACACTTGACTGACTGTGTAACTGAGCATTCAAAGCAACTGTTAGCCGCATTCAAAGCAAGTGTTAAGTTCGAAGTGTCAGATTGTGTCTCATGGCGACAATTATATTACTAACAAAGATGTCTAAGACTAAGAAAAGAACTATAGCACATTCGAACAGTTTGTAAAATATTCACAAAATATTCGTGCAATTACTCTGACAAGCATTTCATTTCAATTCAATTTAATTCAATTACATACTTACGTCCTCTCGATTGTACACTTTGCGATTTAGTTGACCTTTTTTCAGGACACGAGTAGCGCAATCTAGATTTATCATCGAACACCTACGCTTAATAAATTTTAATTTACAGCATTCCTATGACATCGGAAGTCCATATATGGTATTGTGATTGACAACCACTTATCCACCCTATTGTGATTTGTTGTTTTGATTGATTACCACATCCTGAATTAGCATGACAATCTGGTCATGTGAATAAAAGTTGCCCAGTCTTGTTACTAATTCATCGCAGTTGAATCTAAAAAAAATCCTATGGAGTTATCAAAGGCGCGCTAGAATATTATATTAACACTGGAGGTCATGTTCAATAATATTATTTGGTTGCTGCTAATTATTCCTACTGCCACGATCAAATGTAAGTGAAAGCTTAATTTTGCACTTTGATGTATTTATTCAGTATTGTTTTATTAAAATAAATAGAAATATACGAAGTTTATAACCCACTTTAGCGTTACAATTATATTGCATTCAAAATCAAATGTAAAGTCCAGCTGTAGTCTGATATTTTAATACCTCCGAGAAATTAGCATAATTAAAAGTAGGATACAGTCCCTTCTGCGCATGCGCGGGCTTTGTTCACGTTTTTTATTTTGATCCACATTAATTATCTATTCAAAACACGTAAGTAAAAGTACATGCGTAAAAATTATGAGCCTACTGTTGTTCATGTCCACGTTAACGTTGTTCACACTTGTCAACAATATTGAATAATATTGTTGTGTTTCAATGGGTTGGGATAAAACGCGGATACGGACGGGCACGCGGACGGACGGACGGACAAAAAGGATAAAATGCGGATGTGGACAAAAGGGATAAAATGCGGATGCGGACAAAAGGGATAAAATGCGGATGCGGACAAAAAGGATAAAATGCGGATGCGGACAAAAGGGATAAAATGCGGACTGTTTCGTTGCCCTAACATAATTCGTTATTTCGGAGACACAATTCATCTTAGTACACGGTAAATTCCAGCTGCAGTTTCAGTCGCTTGCCGAAAATGCATTGTAATTTCATTTTAGTTAAGCCTAGTTTCCATTTGGTCTTTAGTTGTCGCTGGCACGGCAAGCGGTAGATGTGAAATAGTATGATATAATAAAGTCTTTTTGTGTTTATATGCAAATCAGTCTTAATGATTGCAGAGTTTTATAAAGTTTTGTTGACACTCTATTACATTAGCCACTTGTCGTGTCAGCGACAACTAACCGGACGAAATGGAAACTGGGCTTTAGTATATGCAAGGTCATAGAGAGTTGTGCTGGGTTTTTTCTCCCCGTAATAAAATACCATTACGGTAAGTGTTGATTTCTGGATGAAAACAGCATGAATGCAACATAATAATATAAGAAATGCACAGAGCTAGTGCTGATGCCTTACCCGCGATATATTTTACGGAAATCCCAACGCAAAAATATATAACAACAAGGTAATTACAACAGGGTATTACAACAGGTATTACGAAATGTAATAATCAATATTAAAATATATGTAGTTTTGCAAGGCGGAGGCTTTGCTTTGCAGTAAATAATTGTTCCAGGTATGAACCATGCTGAATAGTCAAATTAGCGAGCTAAAGAATTCATAGACCGATGACAAATAGTGACAAAGCAAATATAGTGACTTTAAAGAAATTTCTATATAAATGTTTAAGACGTTTACTGTTAGACGTACATCCAGAATCTCTAAATAGTAAATAGTTACTTTCAAGAAAAATTATGTGGATACATAGTCATAGATGTTTATTTACCCTAATCACTACAAATGTTTAAGTTGTTAATAAACAACCTCAAGAAATCGGATTTTGTGCAAGGCTGCCAAGGCTGATATTCTATTTATTTTAAATATTCTGGAGGAAACACAGTGAAGGTTAGTTTTCATAGTGAATACTATTTACTATTATTATTATTATTATTATTGATCTTTAAACACGGTAACCTTTCACATAGGTGATTTTCAAAGGGCCGTGCGGAAAATAAATGCATTATAAAAGAAGGAACTAATAATAAAACTAAATTATACTTATTTACAAAATATACTTATTTACTTATTTACTTATTTACAAGATGTAATTATTTAATAGATGATGGACAGATTTTAAACTTGTTGTTTCTCTTAGGGTTTTCAACAAGTTTACTGGGATGTTGTTCCAATACGCTGCTCCTCTGTACGAAAAGCTATTTTTCAAGAAATTCGTTTTTGGTTTAGGTTGAGACAGCTTTAAATTACTACTGCGCAGTAGGTAACCATTGTTTTCACAAGTGTGAAATAGTTGTGTTACGTATTCTGGAAGCATGCCATTAATCGCTTTAAATGTCATAAGGAGATCTCGCTTTTTCAAAATTAAGTGAAGAGGTTTCCAGCTAAGTTTTTGAAAAATGTCCGAAGATCTTATAGTATAGTCCGAATTTGTTATTATTCTTGCTGCTCGTTTCTGAAGCTTATATAATTTGTCTAAGTGTGTTTGGTTGTTATTTTGCCAAACAGTTGAACAGTAGTTAAAATGAGGCGCGACTAATGCGTTATACATAATTTTAAGCGTATCTAGGCCAACAAAATCTTTGGCTTTTCTTAAAGAGGGGGATAAGTCCCTTCTGCGCATGTGCCCGGCGTTTGTTTACAGGGGACTCCACCGGAAATGAACCTCTCGTTTCCAGTCCCATAATTGGCGATATACACGCGCGATGTTTATATTCCACATGAGGTGATGAGGAGTGAATGTAAAATAATCATTTATATAGAATTCGAAAAGGTTTCAACAAATTTGCGACTTTTATGAGACCAAATCCACCTATTAGTATATTATTGAAACATATAAAACAACAAGAGAACATGGAAAGAATATTACGCCATCAAAGCCGCCCTAAAAGTGCGTTTGTGCGATATTCATTGCAGCACGCTGTGATCAAATCGACATGTGCTGTTGTCTGCTACGATGTCTTTTATATTCAGGTAAATGTTTAGTCCAGTCCCAGACCCTCTTCTCGCCACACGGCGCGGCGGAGAAGGAGGGTCCAGAAGAATTTGCATGCGCATGCGTCAACTACCACCACACATATGTGGAGGTCGCCAGGTCGCTAAGCTCTGTTTACTGTGGGGAAAATCCGCAATGTCAAAGGAAAGTTCTGATACTCTTGCAGCGCTGATTGAGAACAAGTTTCTTCTATTTTTGGCAGAGAATTTGTTGAAGCCGTTAAGTTTGCCATGGAAATGTGTAAATATAATTTTTTGCCGAAGTTTGAGCAATTGCAAGCGATCTATTACCTGTCTCGCGGTAAAGATGTATTCGTTCATCTGAGAACTGGTTTCGGAAAGTCGCTGATTTACACGCTCTTTCCATATGTTTGCGATGCTCTGCGATCGTCACCAAACAACGATTGCCGTTTATCTATCGTCGTTTTGATTTCACCACTAATTTCCCTCATGGATGATCAGATGGCTAAAATGGCCGAACGAGGAATACATAGCGTCAAGCTCACCGATCTTAAAGACCGACAAGTTGAGGACCTTCGACGTGGAAAATCGAACATCAAAATCGCTTTGTTATCCCCTTAGGCATTTACCAGTTTGACTGTAAGGGAGACTCTGAGGGAACTGAAAGAGCATATTGTTTGTGTGGCAATTGATGAGGCACATTGTGTACTACAATGGTAGGTCTATGCTAGATATTTTAATAATTTAATAAATAAATTAGCCAAAGTGCTTTCCCTTGACTACAGAGCTTCATTCTATTGCAAGAGCATTTGGCTAATTGTCATATGTTTATACTAAGTTTTAAAGGATTATTGAAATTATTGAAAATGTGGCGAGATAACCAACGATTGGATAGGGCAAAATTTTTTTACACTTTGGTTCATCACGTTATATAATTAGCCTTGCAAATAAGTAACTTTATACAGTAACCTACTCTGAACTCACTTGATTTATTTTAAGGGGCAGAGATTTCAGAAGCGCTTACAATGAGTTAAAAGACATCCGTGCTTTAATGATGGCTGGATTACCTATAACTGCACTTACAGCCACTGCTAATTGCAAAACAATGAACTACATCACTGCTAAATTGGATATAAATTTTCTCGACGGCCCTATTCGCATTATTTCGGCAATTTCGACAACAATGGCGAGACAATCCAGGCTTGTCTCGTCTAATAGACAGACCATATGCCTTGAAAAACAGTATCGCTGTTGATGTATAATCATTTTCTGCATTGTAAAGTACATATCTCCTAGCGGGCGGACAGACTCCATTGCATATTCGACATTGAACTTCACCTGACATTTTTTATTTCTCTGAGTTGTTTACGTTTTGCGCGCGCGTTTAACAGGTGTAAGGGTTTTCCCTTCTCCCGGAAGTCAATCGCAACCGTTTTGATTGGACAAGTTGACGCATGCGCATGCAAATTCTTCTGGACCCTCCTTCTCCGCCGCGCCGTGTGGCGAGAATAGGGTCTGGGACTGGACTAGTAAATGTTTTGTTTATACTTGGGTTTTAACTGTTGTTAAATAGTAATTTTGGTCAGAAATTCTATGCTGGGATTCTATTGCATTGGATTTATATGCTGACTATGTATTTAATATTTATTTATCAGATCTGATCGAATATTCGTCCCCGGCAAAGAAAGTCAAGAGATTTGAAACCATAACTACAATTTACTGTTAATATTTTTATTGATGCGCTATTATTCAAGACGGCTTCATAACTTTATTTTTATTTCTACATTTATTTTATACTATATACAATTGTTTGTAATCTATAACCAGATATCTGAATATAAATCTTTATAACATTGTATGTCATTTCACATAGCATGATTGTTGTATAAAATTATCGAACTTTCAAGCTAGATAAATTTTTGTATATGCATGCAAAGTTTTATTTTAGTATTGGAAAACTTTCATACTGTAGGCTGAAACATAGTAGCATGAGGTATAGTCATTATCATGACAGTTGAGTTGCCCCAGAACTCTTACGATTTTGTGATATACACCCACAGCTGTACATGAAGTTACACCTCAGGAAGTAATATAAAAGATGACAACTGTATAATCTTTATAGTTACTATATTATTTTTTTATTAAAAGCAATGCATGGTAGTATCTTTTAGCATTCTGGAGTTGAAAATGAGCTTCAACATCACAAGATTTGTCTGGTGATATGTTGGAATTTGTCTTGGAATATATGTCTTGAGATCTGACAACTCAGAACTGCCATTAATTAAATTATTAACACTAGCTGACATTGTACATTATTTTATACCACGATATTCTAGTAAGAAGTGTATCCAGCATACAATAGTGAAATCAAATGTTGACTAGGCAACAACCCTTCTATTATTCCATCTGCCATAAATCCCCTATTTCCCCCCCCTCTAAAATAGATGTAAGTCCCCACGGCCTCACCCACCTTTCTAAAACTGAAATGTATTACACCCCCCCCCCCTATATCAATAGCTAGAGGATTTATGGTAAGGCACAGTAGCTATGACATTGTCATATAGCATCCTGTTTGTATGCTGCATGTCAGATGTTTTGCATGCATATTTATGTTGTTATTTAAAACAAGAACATCTTCTCGATAATGCCTGGCAATTATTGTTTCAGAACATTTGTGCCAAAAACATTTTGTTTGAATTACAGTGTTCTTGATGGGGTTCTTGATAGAGTTCAGTCTTGTCCTCTTAATAATTATGCAATATCACCTTCATTTAGAAAAACACTTATTCCTTCTTGTGTTGGTATGGGTACAAAATGTATACAGTAGCCCCAGCTATGAAGATTTCTATCTGATTGTTGAACTTGGTGGTAATAACAGTCAGGGATACCGAGAGGTTGTGCGGGGTACAGGGCAAAACCTTCCCACGGGTCCCTATGTCATAATTGTAAAACAGGAGAAGCAGTGTTTAATAATATATTGCACTTTATTGCATATTATCCAGCACTGACACAGCTAGGATTTATATTATTGGTTAAGTAATCTTGTATCAAGAAAATTTAAGGGACTTTGGGGGGGGGGGGTCCCTTTAATCTGAGGTCCCATCAATCTGGGGTCCCATCACTCCCAAGCCCAAAATGCCCCCTCTCAGCGGCACTCATTACAGTCAGCAACCCGTTTGAATTTCACCATTAGCTATATCATTCGGTGTTTTCTCCACAGATAGTCTTGAACATTTTCATCTTACACTAAATCCTGTCATGCATAGAAAGGCTCAAAATTAAAGAATGCAGTCAGACTATAGGTTTGCCTCTTTCAGAGATCTTCATGCTTCATGATATTAACTGCTTGTCCCAATAGTAATCTGCCTTTATGGTGTTTGAGAAAGTGTCCTAATGCATGGAAGCAATATAAATTTCAGGTTAATTGCATAATTTACAATAGCATGACAAATGGCAAAGACAAGGCTGCTGCTAGCAATGGGGAAAAGTCAAAACTTGTTTTGTTCACCATTTCAATCTTTGCAAATAAAATAATTATATATGCTTTAAGAATTTAGCTATATATAACCAGGACATGCAGTTGGTTTAAAATCTTGTCCAACTCGTATATTAATTTTATAAATTGTAGATGAAAATATATCTACTAACAATTCAAATGCGGTATATATTTTGTGCAGTATTTACGAAAGATAAGCTCTCATATATCGTTAATCCATGCAAAAATTATTAACTAGAATTTATCAACAACAAACAACATATAAACCATTAAACTGACTGTTGTGTACTCAATATTGTCAGCTTGTTGTTGTGTAAAGAGCAATCGGCCAATCGGGCATTGAGCAATTCATATTCGTCGGTTGATCATACTTCATGCATGATTCGGCGTGTTTATCACGCTATGCGGTTCAAAAGGAAAATTATTCAAACTTGTACAAGTCAAAAGTTTCTATATTTCTTATAAAAAGCAGGCACCATCACACAAACAAGTGAACTATATAAAGTTTCGCTCATTTCAATCGCCATGTTTGATAAAATATTGTTGTAAAATGCCAATACTTCATGTTATAACATGTGTAATGTATCAAAACATAAACAAACGCCGGGCACATGCGCAGAAGGGACTTATCCCCCCTTTAAAAGATTAATATTTTTTGATATCTTGTTGCATTGTTCTTCATTTTGCCTATTCCAGCTAAGTCTATCGTCTATAACTATACCCAAAGCTTCCTTTTTATAAACTCGTTCAATTTGATGTCCGTTTATACTGATTTTTGGCACGTGATCTAAGTTTTTCAATCGTTGCCGAGATCCAATAATCATATATTTGGTTTTTTCGTTGTTTAATGATAGTTTATTCGCTGATAACCATTTTTGAGCATTTACTAGGTCTTTGTTAAGTTTGTATTCAATATCTATGGATAAATGCCCTTGACATGATAAAATTGTGTCATCAGCAAATAAATTAGAGTGTGTTGTTTCTAGGCAGTTTGGGTGGTCGTTTATGTAAATGAGAAATAATAGAGGTCCAAGATTTGAGGTACTCCACAACGAATTGTTTCAATATCAGATTTACAGTTATTTAGCATGCAAATTTGCTTTCTTTGATCTAAATACGATTGGAACCATTTGAGCGTGTGGTCGCGTATCCCATAAACTTGTAGTTTTGACAATAGAATCTGGTGATCAATCGTATCAAATGCTTTTTTCAGGTCTAAGAAAATAACCCCATTTATTTGACCCTGGTCCATTGATTTCAACCACATTTCAGTAGATTGTAGTAACGAGGTTTCGGTTGAGTGATTGCGACGGAAACCTGATTGATTTTTTACAATTATGTTGTTGTTATCCAGGAAGGTATTTAGTTGTCTACAGACTAATTTCTCAAATATTTTGGCGATATTTGAAATGACTGATATCGGTCTATAGTTTTCACATAAGGTTTTGTTTTCTGACTTATATATTGGAGTCACTTTGGCAAATTTCCAATCATCTGGAAATATTCCTGACCTAAGAGATAGGTTAAACACTTCTAGGAGTGATTCAGTTATTGTATCGCCTGCCTGTTTTATTAGCTTAGTTGAGATCTTATCTAGACCTGTAGATTTTGCCATTTGCATATTTTGTATTTCTCTTTTCAGCTCATAGCTTGATATGCTATGAAAGTGAAATACATTTGTGACTTGGTCTATATATGACAAAGGATCAGGACTACAGCCATTGTCAGCAATGTTATTTGCTAATTTGGGACGTATAGAAGTGAAGAATTTATTAAACTCGTCGACTATATCTTTATCTTGTGTTACATTTTTTCCATGGTCTACGCTAAGTTCATTAACAATTGTGGTTTTGGATTTCCTGTTAAGCAGATTATTTAATGTATTCCAACCTTCTTTACTATTTTTACTGTTTTGTAGTTTAGTGTTGTAAAATTGAACCTTAGTTGCTTTGATTCTTTTGTTAAGTTCATTTCTACAACGTTTATAAGATTAGATTAGAGACTTTATTTCAAGAGGGTAACACTTGACATTAATAAAAATGATAAACCTGTGGCCCTCCATATTCCTAATTACAAAAATATACACCCAATGAACTATACTGAATAGACAATGCTAAATCTATTTACATTTAGTAGGTAATTATACTCATGCTATATTTACATTATACTACGAATATTTAAGATAAAATAAGTCAAAGAGCTAGAAAAGATTCAAAAGTAAGCGTCTCTCGCTGCTTTGTTAAAAAGTATTTAAGAAAGTTTCTTTTAAAAATACTTGGACTATGACTTTTCTTTAAGTCACTGGTAATACTGTTCCAAGCCTTGATAGTTTTAACAGTAAACGTACGCCCCCCTCAGTCTCTCTTTTGTATCTTGGGCAATTTAAATTTAGTTTCGAGTACCTAGTGTTCCTATTATGAATATCACAATTTCTTATAAGTAGATCGTTAATATAAGTCGGTGCTAATCCGTTTATTCGTTTATAAACTAAGGTACAGCGGTTTATGTGGGCCTCGATGTAAAATGGCAGCCAACCGAGCGTGTTAAACAGATCCACAGAGCAGGCTCTACGATCAGCATCCAATATTACTCTTGCAGCTCGTTTTTGCAATTTGAGCACTCTTTGTAGATCATCTTGTTTGCAGGAGCACCATACAGTACTACCATAGAGTAAAACAGGTTTGATTATTGCAGAGTAATATATCTCACGTTGTTTTTGTTTCAAATATGGACATATATGGCGAAGAAGACCAACGCGTTTCGATAACTTCTTGCATAGCTCATCGATTTGGGTGGTAAATGACAGGTCTTGATCCAAGCTAACACCGAGTAGTTTGTAACTGAGTACTTGTTCAATTACAGCGTCATTTAGTTTAGCATCTATAGAGATGGAAAAGGTGCTGGTGTTATTTCGAATGCGTTTACTAGCGATTAACATTGACTTTGTTTTTGACGTGTTTATAACCATGCCATTTTCATTGCACCATCTCTCTAAGCAGATCAAATCTTGGTTTATCATTCGAGTTAAAACAGGCAATTTGTCGATACTTGCACTTCTTGCTAAAGTTGTGTCATCGGCATAAATTTCTACATTTGGGTCAGGCATATGAAGAGGCATATCGTTTATAAATGTAATGAACAACGACGGTCCGAGGATCGATCCTTGCGGTACTCCTTGTGATACCACTTGACAAGTGGATACACATTCATTTAATTTAACAAACTGTTTTCTGTCGGATAGATACGATGTAAACCAGGCAATTGACGATCCGTCTACCCCATAAATTGCAAGCTTTTTCAGCAGAGTTTTGTGATTTATAAGGTCGAAAGCCTTTTTAAAGTCAATAAATGTCAAACATGTAACCTTATCGTCATCCATGTTAAAAAGGAGTTCATCGACAAGGTTTATTAATGCTGTCTCTGTCGAGTGGTTAGCACGAAAACCTGACTGGAATTTATACAGAAGGTTATGATTCTTGGAGGTACTTGTAGAACGATGTGGCCACATGTTTTTCAAGCACTTTAGAGATAACAGGAAGTATCGAAATCGGACGGTAATTATCTGCATCATCACGCGATCCACTTTTATGTAGGGGTGTTACTTTCGCGGTTTTCCATTTGATAGGAAAAGTACCCGATGATATGGAGTAATTCATAAGGCGGCCAAAAGGTTGAGACAATACCGGTGCTGCTAACTTTAGTATTCTAGCACTTAGGCCATCACAGCCAGTGGATTTGTTAGTTGGCATGCTATTCAGTGCAGCCAGTACCTGTGTTGACGTAATCGGTGGTATTTCAAAACAATCCTTACCAATATTTAGCTTTACAAAATCGACTAATTTTTCCCCATGAAATTCGGCATTATTTTGATTGCCTTGACTGATTCTAGAGGCAATATTAATAAAAGCGTCATTCATTGATTCAGCAATTTCGGCTTTATCTTTTACTACCTCATCATTGACCTTTAATTCATCTATTGTTATTGGATTCTTTTTCTTCCCACTTAACGATTTTAGCACTTTCCAAATTCCCTTAGGATTTCCTTGATTATTTTCTATTGATTCTTGAATAAATTGTCGTTCAGAGAATTTAATCATATTTGTAGTTTTGCATCTGGCATGTTTATACAAAGCCCAGTCGGCCGGGATGTTTGACTTATACAATTACGAGCTTTTTGTTTGAAATTAGATGACGTCACAAAGTGGATCAACTTCATGACAGACCACAGGACGCTCGTGTTTTTGTATGCAAGACTAGTCAATTAGCCTTTCTCACGCCGCCATTTTTGGGTGGCATTTCAGTCGAAGTCTGCGAGATAACTCCACATAACAGCGACTTTTTATAATTTTTTTGACAAATAATGGTATAGTTTATTTTGAAAAAATGGCGGATATTCGTCGTCGTGAGAAAGGCTAATTGAATCATCTAGGTCTGAATTATTTTATCTATTTTGAATTTTGAATATATTTTACTAGCTTATGACGCCATACTCGACGTCATAGATTAATTTTATTTTCATATCTTTTCTTTCTCGCCAAACAGACGTAAATTTCATTGTTGTTAGTTGTTACCCTTTAGACATTGAGTACATTGAAAAATTCCGAAATAAAACTAAACTTTAAACCCCATTGAAACTTACCCATATGTAAGTGTGGTTGCCTCCATCTTGGACATAACTGGTTGAGACTATACCTTTCCTTATATCATGCAAAATTTGCATATTGCTTATGATCATAAGTTCTCTGTGGCAACGTGTCGCGCTTGTAATGTGATGTGCACAATGTGTACAATGTAATGTGCATTTAAACTTGTAAAATTTCGATGAATGATCTCAACCGTTGTGCGCAAGATTGTCGTTCATGCGACATGTTTATACTGCCGCATTTATTAAATACACACAACACAAAAATAGATTACTAAATCTCTATTTCATCGTGATTGTCATGTAAAGTGAATAATGATAGTAATTGAAAAAAAGACTACAAACGAACTGGACATACGACATATGTGCACTAAATTCTTACTCGCCAAGTTCAAATTGCAATGATTTCCAGTTCTCAAATTAATTAAATTCTAATTACGTCAGTCCCGAATTAATCCAGTTCTAATTGTCAGTTCTCAGATTAATCAAATTCTGATCGCTTGTTCTGAGTTTAAGTGCAGACTGGTGAACCATAACAATAACATCGTCCTCCAATAGCTATTCCATTGCTATATCCATACGAACATCTGCTGCCGTACTGCCCGTCTGCTTGTGCTCTCTGATCTCGCTTTCGTCAATCGTTGTGCCAACAGTTATGACCACATGTTGTTTTTGGCACGTCTACACAATATGGTGGACCGTAACAAAAACAGCGACCACCCCAAGGGCTGCCTCCTCCGCAGGCCCTCGTTGTGTCATGGGAAGGTCACGATTTCGAGAGGGCCTGCGGAATCTTGTAAAATGAATAAATGTTGTTTTGAACCTGCTTCGTTAAATTAAAGAAGGCAGTTTTATTCTTGCAACGTTGGTGTGGACAACAAACCTTATCGTTAAAAAATGCTTCCTTCCACGTCCTAAGAGTCGCCAGTTTAATTTACAAGTTTCACGCCGCTTTTTTATATCTTGTTTATATTCAAGATTATGTAGAAATTTACTTGCTGACGTGACGCCGACGCCATTTTTTTTACAAGATTCCGCAGGCCCTCGCCAGATCGTGACCTTCCCATGACGCAACGAGGGCCTGCGGAGGAGGCAGCCCCAAGGGTACGAGTAATATCGATGTGTGTGCAGGTCCATTCTCGTACCAGAGCCCTTCTTACGCGTGGTGCGACGAGGGGCTCTGACCGAATCCAAAAACGGATACCATAAAAACATGGTAAAAGAATATATCCGGTATTGGAACATAACCTTCGTTGTAGCCAATTGGATGCCAGTTTGATATGGATTTGGCCAGAGTCCCTCGTCGCGCTCCGTTGACCGCGCGTAAGAAGAGCTCTGAGTACGAGAATGGCGCAGGTCAAGTTGTAGATTTGCCCCAAGTCTCGCTCGAATGGGTTTTGATAGGGTCTATCCAGTTTATTATGAGATCAGTTTTGAGCTCAAAACTCATCTCATCATATACTCGATAGACCCTATCAAAACCCATTCGAGCGAGACTTGGGGCAAGTCTAGTCAAGTTGTTGCAAACCAATAAACCATAAGAGATATGGAGTTCAAAGGTAGTTTTAGAAATACCAACAAGACTTATCTAAAATTCAATGCGTCAATAGATCAAAATTGGTACTCCAGTAGAAGTCAGCAGAGTATTAAATTATGTCGGTTTAAAAAAAAAGTAATGGTTAAGCTCGAGTCTCCCGGATTTTGTATGCAGCTGTGTCTACTGACATAGGCCGTAGCCTTGTCAGAACGTCAGTTGAGTCCGGGACTACAAAAATGCATTGATCGTTTCTTTTGTTTAGCGATTGAAAATCATGCTAAAAGATATACAATTGAAATGAAGTATTCGTATCTTGATCTTTCTTGCTCTTCAGACTTGTTCACAGTTCAGCTTGCGGTTGACACTACTACAGTCTACACACTAATTCCTTTCTTTTGCGGTATTCTCGTCCTGTGTACTAGCTTCCTCTCTTCTCATTTCCCCTCTCTCAACGGTCACGTCATGGATGATCAGAAAATTTTCTTTATTCCCACAGCTGTTTATTCATTGCCCAAGGCAGTGCTTCGTCTATGATTTGGTCAGGGAAAGCATTTGTTTGATCCGTTGGTAACAGCAAAAATACAACTTTGATTTTGTGTTTCCATATTTACAGTCACAATAAATATTATTGTCACCATATATAAGCCTATGATGCGTCCATGTATAAGCCCACCCGTGTATAAGCCCATCAAAAATTGCTTAAACGAACGAATATAAGCCAAGATATTTGAAAGTTTATGGTATATTATGATGAAAATATACACATGCTCAACAAGGCAAACCGATAAAATTCAGGTTCTCGTGCAAGAATACTTTAAATTTACCTATATCCGTCACGCAGCCAAATTATAGCTAACATTTTGCGCCCGATTGTAACCTGTAATACTAAGAAAACATGCATGTCATTGCATGAGCAACTTAATGAACTTATAATCTGAAAAATGCTGAAAAGGCACCAGTCAAAAATATACTTGCTTGCAGAACTTTACTTCCCCTATGCGAAAGGTGTCCATAATTATCCATACATGAGTTGCTCGCAACAGTGACGTTTAATACGCTTCACTTCACATGCTTTCTCCTGACTCCATGAGTTCAAAGTTTATCAAACTGTTCTTTCTAGAGATCCAGTAAGGGTCGTCTCTCGTATAGCCAGTTATTACAGGGGGAATGGGGGAAACCTAAACAATAATGGACAAACTTTATTCAGACTTAGAAGTTCTATACAACTTATGCCTAAAATTGTCGCTTGCAACCTGCTTACTGCTTTATTTGCACCGTGAAAATCAAGAAAACAACTCACCTACGACAACATTACGCAGGCGAGTTGTCACTGTGTTGCCTGTTGGTGAGTGTAAATCTGCCTTATCAGTTCTGTACAACAGAGGTTGCAGGAAGAACCATCCCAACTGAAAACACCCTTTTCGTTTGCACTGACAGAGTTGAAATTTCCAAACAAACAACTGCATATTGCAGGATATATTGCTTTGGTCGCAGAGGTAAAATTAAGAATCGCACTAATTAGTCATGCATTCTCGATCCAAGAGGAAGTTTTAGTTTAACCAACTTCAGAAAACAAATACTGTGATTATTCAAAGAAAATGAAAACATGTGCGCAGCATGCACGTTAGGCATCACGATGTTTGGTAAGCATAATCAAAAGCATTCCCAATAATAAAACCTTGCTCCGCCTTTGCTTACTTCCTCTCCTTCAACGGTCCACGTCACGGATGAGCAGACAATTTTTTTTTCTCGACCGATGTACTAGGTTCCTCTCTCACATCTCCTCTTTTAATTTTATTCATTACTGGATAGCCGAATATAATTTCTAAACTGTTCTTTCTGGTGGTCCAGAGAGGCCGATTTTTATCCAGTGTCAGTACGGCAGGAGTCGAAACCCAAGTTTTTAGTCAGTATACGCCATAGCTCTATCATCTCTAACGGTCCTCCCTAGAGGTCCAGTAAGGACCATCTCTACACCGTAAATTCCAAGGAGGTGAATCAACTCCAGGGGCCGCTTGTTCAAAGCTGGACTATTAGTGCTAACCCTGGATTAAAATTTAGTTTGGGTGCAAATGCACTTCTGTTTGTTTCAAAACTTTGGAAAATAAAACTTCTATTGATCCAGACATGAATTGTGGAAAACTATCTTCATGTTTCTAAACATGATGTTGGTAAGATTGCTTTGGTAAGATTTCGCTAA